GGGGGGGGGGGGGGGGGGGGGGGGGGGGGGTGACCTACCTGCGTGTTTTTGATGTAATCCGTAAAAAATTAAATAATGACAAACATGAGAAGACACTGTGTTTCTGTGGTTGACTGGAATCGTTAATAGTTGGAGAACATCACAAAAATGATTTGATCTCCTGAGGTATAACATTATAATCTCTTTTTAAAAAATAACTTTCTGGCAGGGGCTTTTCGTTTTTAGCCACGTATGCGGTTATTTGATGATAATATTGTAATATTTCCACATTATCCCTCTGACATATGGCATTAATGGATTTATAATACAGCTATGTTAAGCTTGCTCTCATTGAGTACAACATACAACAGAATGGATAGGAAAGCCCTGGATTTGTTTTTATTGAATGCAAAATTTGATTAGATTCAACAGAAGTGCAGCGTGTTGTGGCTGTTGCTGTTTGACAGGATTTCTACAATGTCAGTGTAGTGAGAGGGAATCATTTCGCATGCACGTGGCCAAATAGCCTACAAAGAAACTGAACGTGTAACGCAAGTCTAAAACTATTACTTATTATTATTTTTGTCAATGCAAAATGCCTTCATAATATATGCTAGATGTGCATAATAAAAGCCACAACTGCGTTATTCGATCATAATGCGTATTTCCATCAGCGCAGTTGCACTCCTTCTCGCTAGGGGGCAGTAGCGGGAAGCCGGGAGCGCACTGGGCGCCTGGGTAATCGAGGAAACTCAAGAGATTCCTCTCCGTAGCTAACAGTAGCTAGCCGGCTGCTATTCTTCTGGACAACGCAGTTGTGGTTGTTTTATTGGCCGTTGGCCATCTGCTTCTTTTGTCCTTCGTACTTCGGGGATTTCCTAATGCGCCGTCCGTGACTAAAGTGAGGCGGACACCGACGGAGAAGTTTATAAACGCTGGATGTTCGGTCACTCTTGCTTTCCCACAGGATGCTAGGACATAATCAGACAGCTAGCTAGCTAGCTAGCCAACCTGCTAAAGTAGCAGCACTGTCCGGATGCTTTGAACAGCTAAAAACGCAGCGGATTTTGGGGAGTTTCTAGTCGGCCTCGCATGATGTCAAGCAACCGGCCACAGCAAAGCCCTGGCGGGGCGAGTTCAGTGCCCAGCACGAGTAACGTTAGCGGCAGCAGCGCAGGAGGCACTGGGAACACAAACGGTGGCGGTGGGAGCAACGCCGTCACAAGTAACGGGAACAATTCTGGAAATGTTGTGCCCTCCCGGACCCCGACAGGAGCCAGCGAGGGGGGGTCGTCGGTGCCAACGTTGGCCGCCGTGCCGTCGTCCCGGGGCGGGTTCGCATCTCTGAGCAGACCCGTTGCGTCCTCGGGCAGCAGGAAGAAGTCTCTCCACCAAGCGCCCCTTTACAACGGCCTCTTGAACTCATACGAAGATAAAAGCAACGATTTTGTCTGGTTAGCTTTCTCCGCCGTTATTTTCTCTAGATGGTAGCTGCATGCTAGTGAAAGTTTACTGTCAGTGTTTCAAAGTTTTGAAAGCAAATATGTTGACACGCACTTAAAATGTTTTCTGTGTACGTTTGTGTCTCTCTCTCTCTCTCTCTCTCTCTCTCTCTCTCTCTCTCTCTCTCTACTTTTCCAGTCCCATTTGCTTCGAAATGATAGAAGAGGCACACATGACCAAGTGCGGGCACAGTTTTTGGTAAGTGTTTCACAGCAGAGGCTTTGAAGTTAGCCGTTGGGCTGTGTTAACGGACAACAGAGAGCTTATCAGAAGCAACAACAAGTTATGTCAACAAAAATAACAGCGCAAAATGCCTGTGTTAGTGATGCTTACATGTAGGGACGGAGCAAGACAACTTTCCTCCTCCAGTTTACTTAACCCTAAACACTATAAAAAGTTAAAAAAAAAACAACTTTTTATTCGTTTCCCACTTGAAAATAAAAAACAGTCTGCATCATTGAGAGAAGCCAGTGCACTTTCTTGTTTCTAAACATGAATTTAAAGAAAAATAGTGCAGCAAAAGGATAAAACATTAATTCAAAACATGTACAAAAGCAGCGTGAGAATGGGGGAAGTCCACCTTTTAGCACCTTGAGGTATGGCGTAACTTAAGTACTACTAAGTAAAGCTGTAATAGTGTTCTTTAGTGCTCATTTTAGTGCACCGCTTCAATCAGTTCCACAGTACTCGGTTGTCTCTCTCTGCTGCAGTTTCAAGTGTATCCGCCAGAGTCTGGAGGACAGCAACAGATGTCCCAAGTGTAACTACATCGTGGATAACGTGGATCAGCTCTACCCCAACTTCCTCGGTAGGTGTTTTCAGTCCGAGGGTTGAGGCTCAGGCCTGTTTTGCTTTCAGTTGTCATAGAACACACACATTTGCATGTCAAGACACGGTTTGCACATCAGCTGTACTGTTGCGACATAAGTGTCGAAGAATTAAGTCATTGGATATATATTTATTTTCACCAGGACTGAAATGTGAAATGCTAGGGATTGTTCCCGTCTCTGTTGTTTTTTCCACAACTAAACCGACTCACCCAAAGTACCACTGCGTTACTGTGAAAGTCGTGTTTCCGTCATATACTCACATAGCGTTTCCAACTTTCTCCCCCACCCTGCCCCAGTAAATGAACTGATCCTGAAACAGAAGCAACGGTCGGAGGAGAAGAGGCTAAAATTGGATCATCCTGTAAGTACAACACAAGCTTACTGTCGCTGCTTTGTTTATTCCTACACACACATTTTCACTCTCAATATTTATTCTTATTTTTATTTTTGCTTGTAACTGATGGGTGTCTCTGACCCCTGCAGAACGGGTCGAGGTGGCAAGTGTTCCAGGACGTGTTGAGTCCCGACCAGGAGAACTTGGACCTGGCTAATGTCAATCTGATGCTGGAGCTCCTGGTCCAGAAGAAGAAGCAGCTGGAGGCGGTGAGTGGGGGTCTACGGGTGATCACACACGCATTTCATCTTCTTTGGTGCCAGACCTTTCTAGCATTGTGCTTCTGCAGATGGCTGCTTGGATTCACGTAGAGCTGCACAATACTCCATGAGATAAGAGGCACAGGTGACTTTTAACCTGTTACTCCATGTTAAAAGACAGTCATTTACTGGATGCAAGATTCATACAGAGTGATGGGGGGTTAAGTTTGACCACATAAAGGGATAGTTGGGATGTTTTGAAGATTATGAAGTATGAAGTATGGTTGTATGAAGTACTCATTCATAGACAGTATACACAGAAGCTGATCAGGTGCAGTGTGTACTGCTATGGATGAGGGCAGCAACGAAACACCCCAAAAAAAACAAAAGCAATATCATTTTACGCTATATTTAAGATATAGACAGCCCTTCATGACGGGACACATTGGGTACTTCCCAAGTCTCTTAATTGTCGTTTCCTCGCTCCTCGCATGGTTTCCTCCATGCATCCCTGGAAGGACGCAAGGAAAGGACCCAAGTGAGGGAAACGGGGATGCAATTAAGAGACTTGAGAAGTACCCACTGAAGCTGATATCTATGCTCTATCGGGGGGGGGGGGGGGGGGGGGGGGG